ATAAAAGGCTCAAACACTAATATTCCATGGTTATAATTTATTACATTGGAATCATAATCACGACCAATTCATCAGACCTACAAATTAAAAAAGATCTGATGAATTGGATCATGATTACGATTCCAATGTAATAAATTATAACGATGGAATATTAGTGTTTGAGCCTTATATATATATATATATATATATATATATATATATATATATATATATATATATATGTGTGTGTGTGTGTGTGTGTGTGTGTGTGTGTGTCTATGTATGGGCGTGTTTGTGTGTGTGTTTGTGTGTGTGTGTGTGTGTGTGTGTGTGTGTGTGTGTGTTAAAGATCAAATTTAGATCAAATATGGATCGGAATCCGACACGATGATAAAATAAAAGAACAAACAAGAAACGTATATTAATCTGACATGTTTCACTTTTAGTAAAGCTTCGTCAGAGATCGTGAGAAAACAGAAAACACTCGTATTTTCAATTATGTTTGGGTAAGTTCTCATTGCTCAGACATGTGTCACGTGTATAAAAATCGTGGATAATTCTATGTGAATGTAGGTTTATGAAGATTCTTGTATATGTAAGTGGGCAACGGATGGTAATGTGTATTTTTGATTCTGTTTGTGTTGAGGTTTTATCTTCTTCATTGTACGCTCAGCCTGCGCAGCGCGGAGTCACAAGATTCTAATTTATGTCTCGCCTTTTTAAGAATATATTCTTTGTATTACATAGATATAAAGTAAATTCCTTAAGAATGGATTCAAAGAAAGACGTCGATGTAATGTAAGGCGTGTGTTCATAGTTGGTGATTATGTTATTATGTTTTCAATGTATTTACTCCTTAAAGAATTATGTTCTTTTTTAATTAGGGTCGTATTCGTAAAATCAAATTAGATCCAACATAGTTTCGATGCAAAACCAGAGCGTTAGATCGATTTTCCAAATGCAAGTCTCTCTTGTGTTCGTAGATGAAGGCATTTAGATCACGTGACATCTTCTCTACACAAACATTTTTGCATTGTAAACAATTTATTTGATAAATCCTGGCATTTTAATCGATGTTAGGTTTATTTTTCTTCCTAATTATATCTCCGATTGTCTTGGAGATGATGGTAATGATCCTAGTATTAGGGATGACTAATTTGTTTAGATTTTAAAGTATATATTAAACCCACAAATAAAAAAGATCTAATCAACTTCTATTCCCACCACAACCATAAAATAAAATCTGATCTAGTCATAGGATTCTACTTCATAGCCCTTGGAATATATACTTCTGGATACCTAAATGTAGAAGAGATATATATTCAGAAAACTTCCAAACTTCAAACGACAAAGTAAATAATATAACTCAATTATCCTCAACAACAAAAAAATGGAAAAAAAAAACGAGCTTACAAAATCCACAAAGCCAAAATAATAGACATCACAAATAACACTTCTAACAAAAATTACAAAAAGTTCATAATCCTTCACCCCAACACTCTTTCTACTAAACTCGAAAACCAATAAGACATAATATATAATTTATATAAAAATCTTTTATATCAGATGATGTCTGTGTGTGTGCGTCTTTCTGTGCATAAGTCTATATGTGTGCATGTATCCTATTTATGCATGCCCACATATCTCAACCGATTTCGATAAAATTGTACACACATGTTGCAAATTTGCTAAGAGAGATCAAGACCGATTTTAAATCTCCAGGCTCACCGGTTTTGGCAGAAAAATCGATAAAACTAAAGTAGGCTACGACTTTTTGCAAAAACTAAGGCAAAGTTACACGTGAACAAAATTTTTACTCGACGAGCCCTGGTTTTTTATTTGATGCTTTCAAAATTTGCATTGTAAATTACATATGAAATACAAATTGTCTTCCATGAATGTTTGGTTTAGATTATTTTAGTTAAGTGAACGAAATCTGCCGCAAACTTGATCCAAAATCGGCTTTTGCCATTTAGCCAATAGTTTCTTCATATTATTCCATACTAAATTGGCATTCGAACAACCTTTGATGTAAAGATTGTTTGGGTAGGATTATTGAAGAGTTAAAAAGGAAGCATTCCCGAAGAACCTCTCATTAACACCAACTTTACAGTGAACATGCAAAGAAGGAGGGGGGGCTTTCATGTGTTTGCAGCTGCAGCTGAATCAAGCTCTGACGCTTCATCCCTGATTTTGTTTCATTATTAGATTTGTGAACAATGTAATACTATTTGAAAGTTATTACGTTCATAGGAAATTTACTGAATATCAAAAACATTGAAACAATTTAACCCCAAGATCACACAAGAAGGTTTTATAAATGGAATTCCTTTATTAAGAAAAATCGAACAGTTGCGAAGGACATACCGTAAAAAATATGAGGGGGAGTAGCTTAGTATGAAAAACGGATGATGCTTACAAGCGGGGACGGAGACAGACGTGTCTAGACAGTGGGGTGCGGGTATACAAGGGGTGCGGTTATATAATTGCAGCTGAGATACCGGGAAACGCCGGGTACCTCGGCTAGTACAAAATGAAAACGTTAAAACAACGTTAACGTTGGAAAAAAATTTGAGATGAAAAACTATATCTAATATTAGATAGATAGATATGAACAGAACGAGATAGATGGGTAGATAGTTATGAACAGGAGATAGATAGATAGATAGATAGATAGATAGATAGATAGATAGATAAAGGTGAGAGAGATGCAAAAAATATGTAAATAGAGAATGAGGGATAGATAAAAAATTAAACAGATAGATAGATAGATAGATAGATAGATAGATAGATAGATAGATAGATAGAGTGAGAGAGATACAAAAAATATGTAAATAGAGAATGAGGGATAGATAAAAAATTAAATAGATAGATAGATAGATAGATAGATAGATAGATAGATAGGGTGAGAGAGATGCAAAAAATATGTAAATAGAGAATGAGGGATAGATAAAAAATTAGATAGATAGATAGATAGATAGATAGATAGATAGATAGATGTTATTGAAACATTCATATAAAAGCATTAGAGCTTCTTGATAGTTTGTGGCAAATGTTTCCCATGTTTGCTTGTAGATGCATATCAGGCTCGACATGTCTAATTGGAATGGGATGAATATTGATAAAAAGTAATAGAGATTTATATTGTAATATTTTCTTCATGACCGTAAAGTAATAAATGAAAAACACATAACTTTCAAGCTTCATGTCTAAATTCTACCCGATTATAACTGATAAAACATTTGTTGTCTATTTTCCGGTAGGTGATCATGGTTCTATACAGATTGCTCTTCTTATTCCTGAATTGCCATATTTTCTTGGAAATATAATTGAGTTGCTTCCAGTTGCCTTTTCCACATTCTTCTTGAATTCTTCATCTCTTAGACTGGTTGCCTTCGTAAAGTAGCGAGTCGTGTCTACCTTATGATTTAACTCACAGCTGAGGAAAAAGGATGGATTCATGCCTTTCGCAAGGATAATAGTTCAAAAATGAACACAGCCGACTCGGAGATTTGACCTCTGTTTGCTGATTCCACTTTATGCGCCGCTAACAGTTACCCTTAATATGTACATAGGGCAAATCATTTCCTGTCATTTGTTTGTCCGAGTCAAGCTAAAATCAAGAATTCGAATTATGGTTTTAGGCAAAGTTGTTGCCTACTTGGAGTATCGGTGGAGTACAATCTTCCTATTTCATAACGCCCTTTCTTATATTTTCGTTTAATATCTCTAGATCTTGGACATAATGGTATACACGCAAAGCATCTACAGGATCGGAAGAAATGTTTAAAGACAGAATTGTTCTTTAAGATTATCTCAGAATAACGGTTTCTTAATTGAATTAGCCCTCTGTTTATGTTAGTCGGTTATTGATTATTCAATCTTGTAACTTCTTTTGTTCGATGCTGAACTGTCCATTCTCCTTTTTGTGATGTTGGACGGATTCGCTTGTCACTTTTGTTATGTCAAGCGAAAACTCGTTATCACGTTCAAAAATTCTCGTTATATTCGGGACTTCGTAGACGCCGCTACTAGTAGTAACGCCTTCCAATAATATCGGCACTAGTAATACTTGCTCAAGTAGTAATCGTCAAATCAGAGGAGAATGATAATCTGTATAGCAGAGAGTGGGAACGTATAAGAATAGTAGATAGACAAGAAGTGAACAGTGATCATTACGCTACTTCGTATTTATTCACTTTACTTATGATCACGTGATCTACTTAATAATGGAATCGCCCCTGTTTCAAACCACAGTGTCGGCAACGACACTTACTCTTATACAACATTCTTATAGATATATAGATCTGAACAAGTGATACAAACACAAATAATCCTTCTCATCTTACGCTTACTAACACTAGTATCCTTATATTTACTTTTTTGCATTCATCACGCGTAACAAATATCGAAGACAAGTGAACGGTTTTTGATAAGTTTGACTAAATGGATTGTAGAATAAGCATCATAATGGAAAAGAGTGGCAATCAAGGAAAATTATTTACTAAGACTCACAAAAGAGAGGAAATTGTGGTGAGCCATGTTTGTCAAATCCTAACCAGACAAAATGCATTGAGAGAGAGAGAGAGAGAGAGAGAGAGAGAATGTATATCTGTTGTTTTGATCTCGATGTCTTAATTGCTATTTGTTCTATTTTTCTCAGAGCTACGAGAACTTTCATTGCGAAATATTATCAAGTACAAGACTAGCTAAAACTTAAAAAAAAAAAAACATTGGCAATTACTAAAATGTTGTAATTCGATGAGAAACTTTAAAATCAAACATGGCTGATTTTATACAGAAGGCAATTACGCAAACCGAACTCTACTGAACAAAGTTAAAATAGTCTCTCTCTCACTCTCTCACTCTCCCTCCCTCTCTCTCTCTCTCTCTCTCTCTCTCTCTCTCTCTCTCTCTTGCATGCATAGCTAGCTAGATACTGTGGGTCTACGAATCATCAACTCGAACTCATGGATTTTACCTGCTTTTGAATAGCAACCGGTGGTATTAGTGATATGTACATGAGTATCTCCTTTACTACGAAGTTTACACTCACATGAATCTTTACTTAGATCATTAATCAATCGCCCACAGTTCTAATCATTAAGCTGAAATAGCACATACATGCCTCAACATAGGATAATTAAGCATTTTTATGTTGATTATCAACTTATTTGGTCATATATTTTCTTACAAAATCAAACGTTATTATTAGTGGAACCTTGCTTGAGTGTGAAGATCTTAGTAGCTGAGCAGTCAAAGCACGCAAGATAAAATATTGGTCCTTCCTGCAAAAGGGACCGTGAAATAATATCGGAGGGCATATTTTCTTCATTAGGTTTTCTCGAATACACAGTAATGCACTATTAATCAACATTTTGATAATTATAGAAATATTTTTTAGAATTTCTTATGTCCAGTACTAAAAAGGTCGTAAGACATTTTAAAGATAAGTTCGAAGTCGCTAATGTTACATAATGGAAGAAACAACTGTAGCAGTAAATGTCTGTTCTTTGGAAGCATGAAGTGCATTTTTGTTAACAAAATGGAGTAACAAAATCACAATTCTGATTTAACAAGATTCCAATTACACACAATTATTTTGCAATCTCTGCTTATCACTTCTGAGAAATTTATTCAGTTAATCACTACTAATCTCCATTAGCTGTTATAGAGAAATTTCGAAAACAATTCTTTTATTTATTTTTATTCCTTATTCTTTTATTCCTTATTCTTTTATTCCTTATTCTTTTATTCATTATTCTTTATTCCTTGTTCTTTTATTCCTTATTCTTTTATTCCTTATTCTTTTATTCCCTGTTCTTTTATTCCTTATTCTTTTATTCATTATTCTTTATTCCTTGTTCTTTTATTCCTTATTCTTTTATTTCTTATTCTTTTATTCCTTGTTCTTTTATTCCTTATTCTTTTATTCATTATTCTTTATTCCTTGTTCTTTTATTCCTTATTCTTTTATTCCTTATTCTTTTATTCCTTGTTCTTTTATTCCTTATTCTTTTATTCCTTATTCTTTTATTCATTATTCTTTATTCCTTGTTCTTTTATTCCTTATTCTTTTATTCCTTATTCTTTTATTCCTTATTCTTTTATTTTTTGTTCTTTTATTCCTTCTTCTTTTACTTCTTGTCCTTTATTCCTTATTCTTCTATTCCTTATTCTTTTATTCCTTATTCTTTTATTTCCTTATTAACATTCTTGTTAAAAGAATGCTTTCTTAGTTTTGTTTTTCTTGGATGCGTATAACAACATCCTTTTTTACTCTATATGACTGACTTAAGGCCTTGGGAAATTTGCCGCTCATAGACATAATGAATGTAAGAGAGGTAGAGGAAAGAAGGGCATAATCCCTGCCTAACGAGTTTGTGTAAATGATTGGCAGTTTACGGATTAGGGAAGTTAGCGAAAAAAATAAGGGCTACTAAGAGCAATTGTTGAGAGCCACGATCACTCACATTCTGAATGGACACGGAACATAGAAGAAGACGCAGCCATCAACATTTTTCTGGATTTCTATGTAGGGTGGAATATAATTAATCACCTAAAAGGCCGCGTAAACACATTTGAACTCTGTCAAGGTTGGAAAGTGAGGATTTGCCAGTTACTCATTGTATGGCCTAATTTGCCTTTTAATAAAATCTCATATACATATGAATATATGACATATTGAAGGTAAGATAGACAAAGGAAAGCAGCACATAACCCCTGCCTAATGAGTTTGTCTAAAGGATTGGCAGGTCAAGGATTAGGAAAGATAACGAAAAGATGAGGGCTACTAAGAGTTACAAAAGACAGGAAATTGTGGAGATCCATGAACGCCGACGTCCTGAAAGACACGGCGCATAGAAGAAGCAGAATCTTATTCCTGAGCTGAAAACGTAAATTCTACTTAAAGTACGTAATATTTTCTATTGTATCGTGTATGTTGATTTTCATAACACTTATAGGTATCAAAGATTAAATTACCAAATCGAGTTCGAATCACGGCTACATATCCAAATACATCTGAATATAAATAAATAACATGCCATGTTTCATTGGCAGCGATGACAGAAGTGTTTTCTTAATTACCTACCAAGTTATATGACACTGGTAGATTGCTATATTTCACATGGTAGAAAGATGGCTAAACACTTAACCATTTCAGTCGGTCAGTTAAGTGACATACCTGAAACACGCAATAATCTCTTTCGAATCATGACTGAATAAGAACATTTTTCTGCATTAGGCTGCAATTTCATTCCGTGGTAGACTAGTTAGACTATAGAACCCAGTCTGTTCTGCTATTTAACCCATAGCATGGGGCAAAAATATGTATTCATAACTTTACCTAGAGTATTTTGCGCTTAAATGAAATGAAGCCGAATTCGGACTCAGCTCTCATTCCAAGCCATTATTTCATTACACCACTAACTTTACACATAAAGAGAAAAAGTTTATCCTGATATCAAGTTTGACACAACCGATATCATGTCTCTCCACAACGTCTAATTATCCGTTGCCCTAAATAATGTTTTTCATCTTATATCATGTCCAATCCAGTACTAGTCTTGTCATCTATTTATACACGCTACTTAGGTAGAGCATTCTGTTTTTCTCAGTCTGTTTTGCCTTCAGTGTGTCCTGTGCTTGTCAAATTTTCCAAGCCTTTTTGCTCATTATTTTTTATTGTCTATTATCATCATCATTTTGCTTGAAAACTTCTTCTTCTTCTTCTTCTTCTTCTTCTTCTTCTTCTTCTTCTTCTTCTTCTTCTTGTTTCTGTTTAGGGCGTGGGCGATCATGACCCTTCCAAACCTTGTATACTTTGTAACTCTTAGCAATTTTTGCAGACCACCATTTACACAAGCCCATTAGACAGGCTTCTCCCTTATTTCCACTGTCCCATCGCCTTCAGTATTCCCTGTAAGTGTCAAATTCTCTAAACCCTCTTTCATTATTATGTGTCCTGATTCAAATGTTTCTTTCTGATCCTAAATTTAAGTCTCCTTCTTGTTCTTAGTTTCCTTAAAACATCCCCGTGTCTCACATGTTCCGTCTACGGTATTATCGTTATACCTCTTTAGAACCATATCTCTATTGCCTCAAGTATTCTCTTTATGTTTGTGGAAATTGTCGAGCATTCACTACCATGTAGGAGAAATTTTGCTCCCTTCATTGGTTTATTATCAAAACGAATTTATATTCATAACTTATTTTATAGATCAATAGACATTTTTATCTCTTCATGTTTGTACTTCTAAACCAGGTCAAATATAAAACAATGTCTCATTAATATTGATGTATCCAGCCGTTTAATTTGCTTTCGTTTAGAAACTGATGTTCACGTGTCATTGTTCTTAAACGATTTTTCTTCTGTCTATCAGGGAAAATATAGATTATTTTCATACATAAATACAACTGTATTTCTGTTTTAGTTTTGTTTACTTGTTCTGTGGCAAAATGTGCAATTTCATTCGATTACTTTTTATCTCCTTGGTCTTGTAAATGTCAGGTTTCCTTTTTGTACGCTTCATATATTACGTCTAAGGTCCTACAATTAAGCTTTTCTATTTAATTTTTCTTGTGTTCGAACAAGTGTTTTCTTTTCTGGACACAGAGTGTGTAGAAACTGTCCAAATGTTCTATAATTCCGAGCGCTTTAAGCCCTACTTTTAGCCATTATTAAGGATGATTTTATTTTTACTTTTTTAACTGGATGTATAGGTTGTGTGTATATGTCTAGAGTTATAGGGACATTTTACTTTCCGAACACAGTCAGCACATTGTGGTTGTGTTCGTAGTTAATATTACTGAGTGTTAGCTTTTTTATTATTAAGGCTTCAGTTATTTTAAATCTTTTTCATGTGGATGAGTTAATTATCCTTGTATTTTTGCCTAATATATATATATATATATATATATACATACACTATATATATATATATATATATATATATATATATAGTGTATTTAGGCAAAAATCCCTCTATTATGCATGTTTTATTAAATACGACATACAAGGTACTGCGATTAAGCTTTTGTTTAATTTTTTTTTTTTTTACATACATACATACATATATATACACACACACACACACACACACATATATATATATATATATATATATATATATATATATATATATATATATATATATATATATATATAATGTAGTGTATTTAGGCAATAATCTGTCTTTTATAAATCAAGAAGAAAACCATAAATTATTTCGTGACTATTTCTATATATTCATCTCTTCAGACCGAACGTCCTTCATAAATGGAGACATTTTCTCTGGGCTGATATCCTAGATTAATTGGAGGAAGGAAAAGCAAGAGAGAAAAGAAGAAAGAGGGAGTGGAAGAAACATAACAAATTTTTTTTTAATATAAAATTCTTTTTTAAAACGTGAAATAGAGAAAGATGGCGGTGAGTGTGTAAAGGAAGAGACTGAGACGAAAAAAGAAGTGAAGGAATAGTAGTAAAACTAAAAAAAAAAAAATAACCTGTCCAAGAATTTTTATTTTTTTCCTTAAAGGTTTGAAACTTTGTACATCGGGTGATGTGGTGAGTGATCCTATTTAAAAAAAAAATACAGCAAGTTGACCGATATGGCCTGTTATTTTAGGCAGGACAAATCAGCATAAAATCATATTAGATATTTAAATATAACAAATTTACATACAGTGATTCACGTAAAGGTCTGTTATACGAGGGTTTTTTTTATTTGTTCTTTCTGGTTGTAAGAGATAATAGTTAACCCCACATTTGGGAAACATAACGAAACAATCTGGCAATCACAGGTCATACTGGAGATAAGGATCACAGGGATAACCTATCTAACAAATTTGTGTAAAAGGATGACAAAACAGGAACTGGGAAGTATACTATAGAAAAAAAGACTTTGCTAAGAATTATAAAGGATAGGTACTTATGGAGAGTCATGATGGCTTACATCCTGAAGGGATACTGCACATAGATGTATAAAATTGCTTGAATATGTAAAACCGTGTATACAAATTATCTTAATCATTTTAGCTAGCGACCACATCTCATTCTGAACAAATGAAACAAAATTTGGCACAAAAATTATTTCCATCAAGTGTTGAATGTTCAAAAGACCAAAGTTCATGCCACACTTTACAACTATTTTCATTTTGATATTTAGTCTCTTACTTTAATATCGATAACTGTTTCACTATTTTCTTTTTTTACCGTGTATTAATTGAAATCAGATTTTCAATACTATCGTGGCTTGTTTCAGATAAACCATTTTCTCAAATTAAATTTTCCAGAGTCTGGGTTGATGTGGAAATAAAAGCTGTTTTAACAGATGAATATAAGAATGTTATATTCTCGTGGGGTTTAATGTTCGCATTTACCATTGTTTCGGATTTGGAAGTAGGAATTCATCTTTTGAATTTAGCATTTTTCCAGTCCCAGAGACTTTAGTATAGAAATTAAACATATTCTTATGATCGAATATATAAATCTAATTCATATGTGTGGCGGAATATCTAGCATCTTTCAGTATCGGCGAATAAACTATTATCCGTTAATAGTTTTAAAAAATTTGCTTTTTGTAATAAAGTGTATACATGTTCATGATGGAAAGAAGAAAATAGATAAACTAATTATTCATAAAATGAAAAAAATATTCTCGCTATTAAATAAAGATTTATGAGAAAAAAGATATTGATATAGATCACTATGTTATTTTTAAGATATGCATCACTTAAAGAACCTGTTCTACTCTCAAAATAATGTAAGTTTGTGTTATCTTAGTAATATAAACCTGTCTCGAATGTAGTATCTTCTGGTTCTGTGAAACGAAAGCGGGTCGTATTTACTTGAAGCTATCTGAAAGCGTAACACGTGAACGAATTCAAGAAGCTGTTACTCGAATAATATTAAAGATTTACTTCACTTATGAACCAGTGACAAGGAGCTGAGATGTGTCAAGAGAGATGTTAAGGAGGAAACTATCAGGAAAGGAAAACAAACTGACCATAATCCCCAATATTTATCTAAGTTAATCTTAATATACGTCGCTCTCAAGCATTTTCTCATATTTCAAAAATGATACACATGTTTCGGATAGAAAAATATTTATCTTAGAGAACCAAATTATTCTACCCATTTTGTAAGGCGACAACTGGAAGTGTTATTGGCGCAAAGGTTAGTTGTATGAGAAATGGAATCGTTGTGGTGAGTTTAAATGCAAATTGAGACTGCTGT